CCAGGAAAAAAGAAAAGAAAAATAAGGCATTCCTCCTGTCAGTGTAAAGCAGGAGTCCCCAACCTTGGCCCCTTTAAGACTTGTGGACTTCAACTCCCAGAATTCTCCAGCCAGCTCTGCCTCTGGGAGTTGAGGTCCACAAGATTCTGGGAGTTGAGGTCCACAAGTCTTAAAGGGGCCAAGTTTGGAGACCTCTGGTGTAAAGCCATGGTTATTAGGGCCCATCCGACTTCAACGTATAGCAGGGGCTTCTTACGTCCTCCTTTAAAATAACAGAAGGCCTGGAAACCAGGAAGGTTCCCTGGGCATCTGTGAGTTGGCCAAGGACAGCAGGCTGTGGCTTGGTTAGGCCAGGGGTCCGATCCAGCCTGGCACAACATGTACAGATCAAGAATCTGAAGAACTGTTTTTTTCCATAGAGCAAACCAGGCTATCAAAAGAACACTTGGAAAAAACAATTAAGCCCTTCAAGATCTTTTTTTTTTTTTTTGGTTATCCTTAAAGCTTTACCTTAATCATCAATATATTAATGCCACTTGTCAATACTGTATAAATACCACCGTACTGAAATATAACATTATGCGTGTTTTATAATACAATAAGCCAGTAATAAGAATGAGCTCTTGAAGAAACGATTGGGAGGGAGATACACACGGCCTCGAACCCCACAATGGAATCGTGGTTCCAGATGGCTGGCCCTTGAGGGAGGACGGGCAACATCCACACATCAGAGTCAAGCTATACTCTGTTTTTTACACTTCCGTCTCAGCGAACCCAGCCACCATAATGAAAAGCTGTGGCTAGCAGTTTAGAGGATAAACTGGAGTAAGGAAACACGGCTTAGGACAGGCCTCTCCAAATTGGCCACTTTTAAGACTTGTGTGGACTTCAACTCCCAGAATTCATAAGCCGGCCACGGACCGGGGTCTCCAAACTCGGCCACTTCCAAATTTGTGGGCTTGGCTGGCTGGGGGATTCTCGGAAGGGAAGCCCACAAGTCTTACGGTTGCCAAGTTTGGAGCCCTCCGGCTCAGGGCACCCCAGCCAAGGCAAGCCCTCTCGGACTGACCCTCGGCCTCCTTCAGCTCCTCCTCCGAGGGCCAGGTCTGCTCTCCTTCCATTGGATCCGGAACCCCTTCCGCCTGGAGAGACTCCTGCTTGGCGGGGTCAGCCGTGCTCAGCACCTTCACCTCTTCCTCCATCTCGGCAGCGCTGCTGCTAAGGTCGCCCTGCAAGAGGCACAAGAGAGCAGCTCGGACCACGCCCCCTTCCGGGGGGGGGGGGAGGAGCATCTCCGTCAGACCCGGTCCAGGAAGAGGCCCCACCTGTCTCTTCCTTCTTACCAGCTGTCCTCCTGGGCCCTTGGGGTTCAGGGCAAATGGGTCCGGAGGAGCGTCCACCTGATTCATCTGGAAGTCTCCGTGCCCAACCACGTGCACCAGGGAGTTGACGTTCAAACTTCGTCCCCTCACGTAGCCAGACACCTTTAAGGTCCCCACCGTGGCACTGTCGGAGCTGGGCACAAATTCGGCCGCATCAGCCAGCAGGTGAGCCCGCCGGTCTCGGAAGGCCAAGTGCTGCTGCTTCTGGCCAGCCAGGTGCTGCAGCAGCAGCGCAGTTTCCTGCTCTGTGTGGAGAGGGAAAAGCCTGGCCCCAGGGAACCGCTTCTCGGTCCCCTTGCTCAGCTTCTTCCGGTAATCGGTTTGCTTCTTTGGCGGCTGCTCAGCCAGACCCTGAACCGCGAGGCCTGCAGGGAACAAAGAGAGCGGCTTCCTTAACTACAGAACAGCTGGAGAAGACGGCCTGTCCTCTGGATCACCACCGAGGCTGCTGTGAGGAGTAGCACTTTAAGACTTATATACCGCTTCACGGTCCTCTCTAAGTGGTCTACAGAGTCAGCCTTTTGCCCCCAACAATCTGGGTCCTCATTTTACCCACCTCAGAAGGACGGAAGGCTGAGTCAACCTTGAGACGGTCAGGATCGAACTCCTGGCAGTGGCAGAGTTTGCCTGCAATACAGCACTCTAACCACTGCACCAACACGGCTTCCTTCCTCCTTGTTTTCCTTCCCTTCCTTTCCCAAGCAATAGCACTCATATACTGCTTTACAGTGCTTTACGGCCCTCTCTAAGCGATTTACAGAGTCAGCCTCTTGCCCCCCAACAATCTGGGTCCTCATTTTACCCACCTTGGAAGGACGGAAGGCTGAGTCAACCTGGAACTGGTCAGGATGGAGCTGCCAAACTGCAGGCAGACAGCAGACAGCAGTCAGCAGAAGTAGCCTGCAGTACTGCATTCTAACTACTATGCCATCACGGCTCTCATATCATGAGAGAAGACCGCAGAATACCAACAAAGCAGCAATAACAATTACAGAGCATCAGGGGAAGCAAACTCATGTAATCAAAGACCAAATTTAGTGTCAGGGAACAGATATTTCACATAGCTGGGCTAGTGATAAAAAACTAAGCATTATACTTCTCCAAGTCCTACAAGACGGCAGCTTTACAGCAAGGATTGTAGCCTGTACCTTACTGGATGGATGGAGAACAGGCTGCATTGGGCACCAGACTCACCATAGCTGGGGAGACCCTGTGCAAAGATGCAGGAGAGGCAGTGATCGCCAACAGCATCCCAGCCATCTGCAGCATCCAGCAGGAAAAGGAGAGTATCAGCTACTTTGGCAAGATCTAGCACTGCATGGAGGCTTCCTGGAGAACAAGAAGTACAGAAGTTACGACCCTCTGAAATATCCCAGGGAAATGCAGGAGACACCATAGAACTATTTTGTAGGTGTAGAGGCTGCCAAGATGATACAACGGTGGTGGGACTCATCTCCGGGGGGGAGGAGTCTGCCTCCCGAGATGAGGTAGACCAGCTGCTTTCGTGGTGTGAAGACAATAACTTGGTCCTCAATACCAATAAGACCAAAGAGCTCATAGTGGACTATAGAAGGAACAGATCAAACATCCAGCCTTTGCTTATCCATGGAGACTGAGTGAAGCAAGCAATGAGCAGCCAGTTTTAAGTTTCTGGGTGTTACCCTAAAAGAGGACCTGACCTGGGGGGCTCACATTGCAGCCCTGATTAAAAGGGCCCAGCAGAGATTAGACTACCTGAGGCTTCTCAGAAATCAAAAGCTGAATGGAAAACTGTTGGTAACCTTCTACCGCTGCACCAGAGAGAGTATCTTAACTTACTGCACCTCTGTATGGTTTGCCAATTGCACAGGGGCAGATAGGACAGCACTCCAGAGGGTTAATGTCATTGCCCAGAGGATCACTGGTTGCCCTCTCCCCTCTTTGGAAGAGCTTTATAGCTCCTGCTGCCTTAAGAAAGTTCAAAACATCTTCAAAGATCCATTTCATCCTGGCCACCACCACCCTCTTTTTTTTTGAACTATTACCATCTGGCAGACGGTACAGGACAATAAAAACAAGGACAAAAGAGCTGGAAAACACCTTCTATCCTAGGGCAGTAGCTCTTTTAAATTTTACTGTATAGTGCAATATTGATGCAATATCAGAGGTTTTCAATTCAAGTGTATAGAATGTAAAGGGCATGTGTTTGTTTTATTTTTATAGTTATAATGTACGCTGAAGATGGTGTTTTATTTCATTTGTACGAGGTGCAATGACAATAAAGTCAACTAAACTAAGATGCTTCTGTAAAATGAGGCCCTCACCTGCATCAGCCACCACAAAACGCCAGCGCAGCTTGGACCGTGGGCACAGCAGGACAAAACCAGGCGCCCCCCCCTTTGCTGGAAACACAACCGAATCCTGGTGACTCCGGAAAAGGTTCAAGGCCGCCTGGGGGTCAACGTTGGCGTGGAGCGGCACCAGGACCATCAGGTGTGGTGGCCCATCCTTGCGCCCCAAATGCCGCTTTTCTTCCAACACCTGCAGACAGAGAAAGAAGCCAAGGTAGGTGAGGCTCCTCCACTCTCCAGGGCAAGCGGCCCGTTTTCAGCTTCCCTGCTCTGCTGCTGCCGACTCACAGCCTCCTGGTGTTGCCGGCGAAGCTGCCACGCCCGGTGCCTGCGGTCCTGCTTGGACCAGTTGCGGTGTACCTGACGAGTGAAGGTCTTAACCGGGACCCGACCTGGAGGGGGAAAAAGGAGGGGAAATGGCAGATGATTTGCTGGCTGCCTGCCTGCCTGTTGCTCCTCGGAGGATAAAAGCGGGAAGTGCTGTCTTCGACCAGACAGGGAATTTCCAAACCTGGCAAGGCTTGTGGACTTCAACTCCCAAGATTCCTCAGCCCAGCCAGGCAGACAGAGGGACTCTGGGAAATGAAGTCCAGAAGTTGCCAAGACTGGGGGAAGACTGGCGTTTCTCCTTCTCGGCCACTTTGGTCTTGAGCTTCCTGAATGCCTCGACCTTGAAGTCACTCAGAGCAGGGCTCTCCAACCTTGGCCCCCTTTAAGACTGGCGGACTGCAATTCCCAGAATTCCTCTGCTGAGGAATTCTGGGAATTGAAGTCCGCCAGTCTTTAAGGGGGCCAAGGTTGGAGAGCCCTGACCCAGACGACGGAGAGACACCGAGAGATCGGCCTCTGGGCGCTCCGGCCCTCAGGGACGCACCGGGATGGGGTAGACTGCTCCTTGGACTGGAGGCTTTCTTCGCCGTCCACCGAGACTCCTTGCTTCCGCGGCGACCTTACCCAAAAATAAAACTCCCCCCGGGGAAAAAAAAAAGGAGCTCCTCCCGCTCACCTCCCTGCCTCCGCGCGCTGCTCACGCGGTGCCTCCCGGCCTTGTGCGGCTTGTTCTGCTGCTTCAAGGAGCCCGCGCGGTGGACGGCCGCCTGCTTCGCCATGGCCGTGGCCACCGTCGCGCCGGAAGTGACGCCACCCAAGGTCCGGGTCTAGGTGCCGCTCTAGGGCCGCCGCGTCTTCTCCTATTGGACCCGGACGCCGACGCGTGCGCAAGAGGCGGTCGCGCGGCGCCGTCTGTGCCCTCGATTTTTCCCCCGAGCCGGGAGCGCATGCGCGGATGCCGCTTTGGCGGTGAGGCGGGTGGGCTTCCTTCACGTCGCCGGCCGCGCGTCTCCATGAGGAGAAAGAGGCGGCGGCGGCGGCGGCGGCGGTCGGGCGGGCGAGCATGGGCTCGTTGAGCAGCCGCGTGTGGGGGGGACCCAGAGCCGGGGGGGCGGCGGAGGGGTCGGAGGGGGGTCGGAGGGTCGACGGGGGCCTCCCCAAACGGAAGCGCGGCGAGGGGCTGAGCGAGAGCGAGAGCGGCGAGGAGAGCGACGGCGAGGAGCGGCTGCTCAGCACCCCCAGGAGGTACGGCCGGGAAGGGCCCCGTGGGGAGGGAGCGGCCCAGGTGGGGAGGGGACAAATGAGGCGCTGCTCTTCAGCGGGGGGGGGGGGAGTGACCGTCCCGTCCCGCTTCGACGCCTCCCGAAACAGAACAGAATAGAGCTGGGACCTTGGAGGTCGTCTAGTCCAACCCCCTGCTCAAGCAGGAGACCTTAGACCAGGGGTCTCCAACCTGGGACACTTTAAGACTTTGGACTGCAACTCCCAGAATTCCTCAGCCAGCAAAGTCCCCAAGTCTTAAAAGTGGCCCAGGTTGGCTGAGGAATTCTGGGAGTTGAAGTCCACAAGTCTTAAAGTTGCCAAGGTTGGACACCCCTGTGTTTAGACCATTTCAATCAATCAGAATAGGGCTGGGAGGGACCTTTATAAGAGATTTTATCAAACAAGAAAATAAATAAACCAGTGAAGGAAACAGACTGGAACACTTTCCCTCTGGCAACCAATTATTCAGAAAAATCAGAATTTATTCTCGAGTAGACAAATAATTATGCAGAAGAAATACTCTTAAGCAAATAGGCACATGGGGGACCGGGGGACCAGACCGCTTCTGCAAGCAAGCTACTACCGGTATATATCAACAGGCAGGAGACACATACACACACACACCCCACACACACTCCCTCACACTGATAACGTTAAGTAATTCGGTAATGAAATGTCTGCAAGCAAACAGCCTAGCTGAGAGAGCCTCAAGAACTCTACACTGCAACAGATGAGTAAGCTACGGATGTTTTTCTTGGTATTTGTATCATATATATGTAAGAATTCAACACATATTTTTTTTCTAACTCAGGAAGAAGCTAAAAAGCACTTCAAAGTATATTTATCAGACTCTGTTTTTGAATGGTGAAAACAGTGACGTTAAAATATGCGCCCTGGGAGAAGAATGGAACTTGCACAAGATATACCTCTGTCAGGTAAAATTTTCCTTTTTCTTTCTTGGATCTCCACTGTCATTAGGAAGCAGCTTCAGACCTTTTGTTTAATACTCAAAGGCAGAGTTCTGCTGCCTTGAATGAGGTCCAGAAAACACAGGTACTGTGTGGTTCTCCTTGAGACTCAGCCCAGGCGCTATTAAGCCAGGTTGTTTTTCTGCCGTTCAGAGGCCTTTCAAACCTACAGTTTATACATCCAACTTTATAATGTTTGATGATGGTGTTTAAGCAAACCATGTTTACATGTATGAGTATTAGAGGCAATCTTCAATTTATGATCTTTCCGTGGTGGTTCGAAATTATGAGGGTCTTGAAAAATGTGACTTATTACCTACCCCCAAAGTTACAACTGTTGCACCATCCGCATGGTCACAGTTTGGGTGCTTGGCAGCTATTTCACATGCAGTCATGCGATCCTGATTTGTGATCTTCCCAGCCAGCTTCTGACAGCAAAGTCAGTTGGGAAAGCTGGATTTCCTGAATGACCCTGTGATTTCATTAATAAACCCTGTAAAAATGGCCATAAAATCTGATCTGGTCACGTGAAGACTTGCTTTACGACCATGCTGACTTATGACCAAAATTCTGGTCTCAATTCTGGTCAGAAGTCGAGAAAGCTGAAATTCAGCAGCTAGAGAAATATTAGTCTGCAGCCACAGTGTCCCGTTGCTGTACGTATCAGAGTAGCAGAGAGCTAATAATATATTAACACAATTTATGAATAATACAGATTTGTTGGGCTTAAGGAACTAGAACAAGAAGAATATTGCTGTACAAATAGATTTTATTTTTTTAATCTCTCAGGCTAAACATCAGTGAGTGATAGCAGCTCATAATGAGTCACCTCCAGCTGGGATGTGAACTTCTAGTAAACAGTATTTTTCTCCTCATTGGATCAAAAACTAGCTATTTCTAGCTTTATAAGAAATGCACTTTAATGAAAAGGTATATCTAAGTGTATGTACTGTACGTATTAATTTATCTACTTGTATGTGTGCTTATAGAGATGTCAACGTATCTATAGTACAATACTCCCTCTCTCCTCCCAGTAATTGTATGTGTTGCATGTAGTTCCTTCAACATCTATGTAGAATGGTGGCCGCGGGAATTTTTGGCCAAGGTTTAGATAGTAGTATGTATTTTGGAGGCTGTTATATATTTTTCTGATCAGTTATCTTTCTTGGATGGAATCTGTCCACTTGTATAAATAAATTATAACACGGGTTTGGCCTGGCCCCCTGTCTCTTCACATTGGATACCGGTTTCAGTTCCAGTGTAAGTAAGCCGCAGTTACAGCCAAGTTGATAACCTGCGATTTAATGTTAGTTTACTAACAAAACCAGACCTTGATCTTAGTTTTAGTTCCCGGAGCAATCGTTCCATTGTTTCCCATTTTAGATGCAATGAAAACCTATTCGGTTCGGATCAAAGTATTAAAACCAGTGCGTGGAGGTGAGGGGGATTGGTAGGCAAGTGAAGCAATTGGTTCAGAATATAACCAAGATTGAAATTTAGGAAATGTATCTTCAAATTAGGAGGGACAAATAGAAAATTTAGTTCAAGGGAAACTCTCTTAGTTCCTTTTGCTATGAACATAATATCGTGATATAACTTCTTATGTAAAATCTTTTAATTCCAAGGGTTGTACAATTATTTAAAAACATGATTTTTCCGTTTGTAGTCTGGCTACTTTTCAAGCATGTTCAGTGGGTCTTGGAAAGAATCAGGAATGGACACCATAGAATTGGAAATTCCTGATCAGAACATTGACATAGAAGGTAAGCAAGGAATCCACATTGGACTCTTTCTAAATAAAAGTTTCATAGTTTTCATTATGAATGAACAGCAAATTATGAAAATCACATTTTTATGGTCTGGGAGATAAATGCTTTCCTAATGCTTTGTCACTATCAGCATATAAAAAGAATTCACGTTTAATTTCATAACTGTTCATTCCTGCCACAATGAAACTTGAGTACAATGTAAGATTTTGTTATGGCTTTTGTTGAGAGGATTGAGGTAGCTTGCTGAAAATCATTATGCAAAATTCCAGGCAGCTTATGCCATTCTCAGGACAGGTTGCAGGCTATAGATACACCCTGTCTTCATTTAGCGACTGCTTTCTGTTCTAACAACCAAGTTGTTGAGCAAACTGGCCCTGTGATGTTGATTGGAACACTCTGCCTGAAATTGACCAGATTTTAATCAGTTTCATGCTTAAGGCATGGGGGGAAATAAAACTGCCATTATTGATTAAATAGTATGGAGCATATTTCTCCCTGAAGCGTTGAAATTAATATCTCAGGCAACACATGTCTGCATTACTAACACTGTTACGAGCTAAGACCCTTGTCATGGCTCCCTCGGAAGCTAGCTTCTTCAACCAAGTGCGGAAGAAAGACAATGTTGTACTGCGAATTTGGACCATTGGTTACGTGTCTGAGTGGCTTCACAACCTAAGAGAGTAGGACTCTCATTGCAATAATGCTTTTTTTTTTTTTGCCATTTAGCCATTGTGGATGCATATTTTTCAACTTGATGGAAATGCCCATCCCTTACTTTTTGATCGATTTTTGAAGCTTTGTGCGCTGTCCCACTTCGTCAGCTGGTGAAACCTGCAGGCAAATGGGAGTTTCCTAGCACGAGAGGTGCTTACGCTCGGCCCCAAATGTGGTGACTCCTCTACTTAAATTCACCATTTGTCCTGCTTAAGGTTTTACATTTTTTTAAAAAAATAGCACCTGATCTACCACTTCTTAATATTCTGGGCATCATCATCTTGTTACTATGTGTAAAATAATTTGAGAAGTAACACTTTTTGAATATCACCCTTAATAAATATACTGAATTGGAAAAAAAAATGTATAACTTGTTTTCCATGTATGAGAAGCCTTAGGACGTGGTTTTCTTTAGCCTTACAGGTTGCCTTTGGCTCACTTTACCGGGATGAAGTATTAATAAACCCCAGCAGAGTCATTGCCCTTCTGGCAGCTGCCAGCATGTTACAGCTGGTAAGTGGAAATGGCTCTGTGCTTTTACAGACCTTTGCGTGGCAAAGTGCAGAGCTTTCAGTCCGAAATCTCCCGAGGGCGGTAAAGTGATAGACCCCAAATGGTTGGGGGCAAGAGGCTGACTCTGCAAAGCGCCTAGAGAGGGCTGTGAAGCACCGTGAAGCGGTATAGAGGTGCTATTGCTATCTTCATTTGTATTCTGGGGATGAGCACATGGTCGTTGCCACATCCCTTCCGTTATCCTAAGGGCCGTGTTTCCAAGCACATGCTTAGCAGTATCAAAATATCTCTTAACTTATTATTTTGATTGGCAGAATTGGGAAAGACATTTTCTCGCTATCTCTTGCCCCTCCTCCCCTTTCTAGGTGGGGACATATAAATGAATGATCGATGCTGCAAGCGCAAGGACTTCTTAGAAATGTGTTCAGAAAGGTTAGGGTACCTCTGGTCTCAAAATTAAACAACAGGGTACCAGCCACTCCCTTTTCTCCTTCAGTTACAAAGAGAATACAATTTTGTCTACTCATGGTGGAGACTGGCAGTATGGCTGTTTGTCTGGAGGGAGCCAAAATATCTCTAGATATTCATTGCTTGCATTTCTGCCAGCTAGCTGGAGGTGAGGGCCCCCCTGTAGCATTAGGCCTGGGAGTAGGGATTTATTTTGCATCATTCTGTGTTTACAGGATGGCTTAATACAGCAGTGTGGTGAGACAATGAAGGAAACAATTAATGCAAAAACTGTGTGTAGTTACTATAATTCTGCGGGAACATATGGATTAGATTCTTTGAAAAAAAAGTAAGTATTGGCACCAAGAAAGGTTTTGTTGAGGAATAAAATTAGTATGACTTCCCTTTGATTTTCTTTTCATGGTGATGTGGGCTTTGACAAGCATGTCGCGTGATATTTTTCAGCAGAAACCTTGCTGCTTATTTATGACAGAACATTGGAAGCACGTATAGGAAATTAAAAGTTAAAAATAGAACCGTCCCAGTACGTGGTCCATTATGGTTTGACAAGAGTCATAGTTGGGATGGGATGGGCTTTGGAATATGACGGCTGTGGGCTCCCTGTTTTGCTATAACATCTGGGGGGAACGTGCTCAGCAGCAGCTTAGTCGAAACGGACCTTGCATCTCGCTGCATTGCCTATGTGCTGTGAAAGGACTGGCTTGTTTTAAATCCAGGTGTCTTGAGTGGCTCTTGAACAACCTGATGACCCATCAGAGCGTGGAACTCCTCAAAGAGCTCAGGTACTGAGTTTTGGGGGGTCGACCCAGACACTGTGGGAATAGAACGCAATTCAGGACACAAGTCCTGCCTTTTGGCGTTGTTTGTTTCAGCATAAACCTCATGAAACAGCTGATCAGTTCCTCCAACCTGTTTGTCATGCAAGTGGAGATGGACATCTATACTGCTCTCAAGAAGGTACCAATATTTAAGAACATCGGCTTGGATATTTCTTCCAGATTGACAGTATTCTTATAGACCAACGTTATACGTGTTTGTGTAAAGCTTTAGTTGCTACTACGTTCGTATCGGGATTGCGCTGAGGTATTAGAAAGATTGAACCATTACATCACTGCTGCCTGGGGGGCGCCCAGTTGGGGGCTCCTTTCATGTCCCCGTTAAGTTGCCCACCAAGGTGGTACCCATTTGACTACTCGCAGTTGCCTGCTTTCAAACTGCTGGATCGGCATGGACTGGAGGGTGGTGAAGGAAACTCATCCCGTTCCATGGCAGCAACCAGGTCTCAAACGTGGCCCAGCCTCCTAACCTTGTGAACCACCGGGCGCCTGAAGCTTTAGCTCCTTAGTGTATATACCTCAGGTGGACCTTACAGGTGTTCCTTTGTTTTTATGTAGTGGATGTTCCTTCAGCTGGTGCCTTCTTGGAACGGATCGTTGAAACAGCTTTTAAGTGAAGCGGATGCCTGGTTCTCCAAGCGCAGAAAAGGTCTTCATAATTCATAATCAGTGCTTGGTGGATATTTTGCACGATGGAGGTCTTCAAAGCAGGATATATCGTATCTTCAGCTAATTCTTCATTATGGGCTGTTCCATATTGGCCCAGCAGGCGTATCTTTTGTGTGGGGTGGGGAATTTATAAACCATAATCTTCCACTAGTTTATCCTCTGAGTCACTTTGACTTTTAAAAGCAAAATCAGGATATATAATCCTATTAAACCCTATCCGAATTCACTTCTCCGTTAGGATTGATAAACTGCCTACAGACAGCAGTGCTGCTTTTCCCTTAATAGTAAAAATATATTTGGACCCTTAAAAATCTGCTTTAACTTTTCAGATTTTGAGGATGGGATCTCATTCTTGGAAACGGAACAAGGATATGCGTTTATAGCCGTGTTCAAATATCTGAGGCTGCAGTATATAATCAGTGATCTGGCATCCGCAAGAATTATTGAACGAGACAGCCTGATTCCTGCAGGTAAGAATGGAATAGCCTGTTTCCTTTTCTCTATCATGCCAGGCATTTGAGAAAGTAAAATCAGGCGTATCACAATTGGTGTGCCACCAACAAGTGGACGTGTCTTGGTAGTAAAATTGGCGAATCATTGAATCTAGTTTCCGGCACTTAAGCTGGTTTTGGGCTAGGTTTAAATTATTTCTCCACTTCTCTTACGTGCCGCTGTGTGGAAAGAGATCAAAGCAGGAGGTCATAGCCTTTCCTCTTCTTGTCTCCCACTTCCTTCTCTAAACTTGTGGCTTACAGGGCCTGCTGGCTAATGACCACAATGAAGGGGTTTGAATGTGTTTGCTACGGTATTTGTTTTTAGACTGATTTTTTTTTAACTTGCATCTAGGGGTAAATGAACGGCTCAGGGTCAGTTTTGATTGGGACAGCATAGAAGCCTTGTAAAAATATTAAGTGCCCCTTCACTTTCTCGCTTTGTTTGTAAAAGGCCCACTTTGGTCTTTCTAAATTCTAGACTGGCTCTTCTCTGTTTACAAACAGCAGTGGTTTGCCATGCTTAGAGCCGAACAAGACAACGACATCGGGTACGTATAATGCCTCTTTCTCTGGGGCTGGGAAACACATCTTGCAATGTTCCTATAAGGAGAGAACCAATAAAGTAACTGAAAAGCAGCCTAGGTGTTCCTAATTTCAAAAGATTTTTGGTGTAGTTGCAGCAATACTTCATGATATGATCAGAAGTGGAAAGGCTCAACCCCACCGACCACAAAGGGAAGGCTCAGGGGAGATTTACGGAGGCGGCTAAAGTAACTTCTTTGAGGCCACGTGGATATTTGTGGCAGCTTAGAAACAGTCACAACAGCCGCCCCCAATCTCTCCGCCTCAGGGGCCCCGCAGCAGCCGTGCATGCGCACTGCTTTCCCAAGTGCAGCTAAGACATAACTTTATGCTATACTGTATTATACAGAGTAAGAGGCAGAGACGGACCTAATTATGGCTCCCTTCGCTGCAAAGGAAATCGGAAGTTGCTTCTTCCTATTTGTTGTTCTTTTTCTCTGCATTTTTGTCTTTTTCTTTATTTTCTTCTGTGTTTTTGTTAATTTTGATCCTCTCTTTAAAACCTTAATAAAATTTATATTTTTAAAAAGATTTTGGTGTGTTAAAGAACTTTAAGGATCTGAACTTATTTTGGATAAATTTGTGAAAGATGTTATGAGACCTGAAGATATTAAACCGATAGAATTGTTTTGCACGAATTAGTACTTTTTGCAGAGAAAGTCTTTTTTCACCCAAAAATATTGCTTGAATAACATAGCAGGACTAGCATAGCAGAATATGCTTTTCGGTGAATGGAAATTGCTAACGAAGAAAAGGTCAAAATTAAGAGAGAATAGATAATTCTGAATTATGTATCGCTTGCAAATGAATTATGGAAAGTAATCCAGGTTAGTGGATTATTCCCAATTGTTCCTAATATAACAAAACCTAAACATTGCAGTAAAGATTTTCAGATTTCTTCTAATGAAGTGACAAGTACAGTCTCTTAGAACAGGAATTCTCAAGAGACACTTTGGTGGTAGTGGGCGGTGTCCCTTTGAGTTCAATGAGAAGATTCCTCTTCTAGTAGTTTTCAGCTGATAACTTAATTTTGGGTACTTGCACTTCTGGTGCTGTTCTGGGAGCCCCAGGAGATCCTCTTCAGGTATTCCCATTATGGCACTTTAGCCTTGGGTTAACGTTTGGCATCCTCTGTATTGAAGGGCAGGTATAAGTCCTTTGCCAGGTGGAAAGTTCTTCTTACTCTCCTTTGTAGCTTGGGGAGAGCATGGAGGTCAGAAAGCAGAGCAGAATGTGGCTCTTTTTCTCATTTGAACATCACGTGTTACCCCAGCATCAGAGACACGAACAAGCCCTGGGCAACACAGCTCTTCTGTGCCCCCTCAGCTTTCTCTCCACCATAAGCCACAATGGTCATCCCTGCTCTGGGAGAGTATATAAGGGGTTACTAGTGTCCTGCTAGGGTGCTGGTTACTCAACCACGATGTACTTAGGTGGTCGTTTTATCATGGCCTGGGGAAGATAACTCTGGTGCCTTGGCTGGGAAGGAATTTCAGGACACTTAACAAGACAACTTTCTGGGGGAAAGTGAATTTATTCAGGCGTTAAGATCTGTACGCAACCAGTTAGAATACTTCTCTTGTGCTAGAATGCCATTTTATAGAAAGTTATTTTGTGTGTTCAAGGCCTCAAGAGATTAATAAAGAGGAACTAGAAGCAAACAGTATGCGGTGTGGCAGAAAACTTGCCAAAGATGGTGATGTAAGCACAAATATTTTTCCATGTCCTTTTTCAAAATGCGTAATTCATTTACAGTTTTCGTAAGCTGTTTGTTCCCCCCAAACGGTGTTTTCTTAACTAGATTATTTCACAAGGTTAAATACTTTGTGATTGGAAAATATAAAAACAATGACTGAGCTCTTGTAGCTTTTTTAAACCGCCCGTCTTGAATTTCCTCCGTGACACAAACCATGCGAGGTGTCAAAATGGAGGAGGTCCTTTCCAGGCGACTTAAGTTTGGGGTTTCAAGCCTCTCTTTTAGAATGCAACTATTTCTTCAATTTCCTTTTTCTTTCTTCTTGCAAGTATTGCTGGCGATGGACAGGCTTCAACTTTGGCTTTGATCTGCTGGTCACCTACACCAACCGTTACATTATCTTCAAACGCAACACGCTAAACCAGCCCTGCAGTGGCTCCATCAGTTTGCAGCCCCGGAGAAATATCGCTTTCAGGTGGGTTCCCTCTCTTCTTTGGCTGGTTCTCCACGGTGAGGAAGTGAGAGAACCACAAGCTCTTCTTGTAGGCTTCGCTGGAGGGAAGCACAGCAGTATCACGGAAGCAACGGCGGGCAAGAGGGGAAAAATACTGAAGGTATTTGCCAGGGCGTAACATTCCAACCCCTGCAGATGTACAGAGGTTTGTGTTAAAGGTAAGGGGTAACAGGCCAGGTCTTCTTCCCAAGCACGAAAATGTGTCATGTGTTTTACCAAACAAGGGTGGTTAAAAACGCTGGAAAGTCGACAGCCCAGGTTTGAGACCCGAGTGCCACGCAACGTGGCGAGCTCCTTTTCTCACCCCAGCGCCCGTCAGCCTAGCAGTTCGAAAGCAGGGAAATGCGAGTAGATAAATAGGTACCACTTCAGTGGGGAGTAGCTGCCTTCCGTGACCTCAGGCTGCCCACCTGACAGCAGAAACATCTTGAGACAACCTGGACTCCCTGGCCCTCAAAACCGAGGTGAGCATCGCCCCTCAGAGTCGGCAGCGACTAGCAGAGTAAAATCCGCAGGGACTCCTGGGCCTTTTACAAAAGCAACTTCCGCCCAGGGCCATTAAGGAGCCAGCTGGGGGTGTTTTCAGTCCATGGGGCTCTTGGGTTGGCTACGCATTGTTCTGGGCACTGTAACCAGACTAGAAGAGGTACTTCTCTTTATCTGTTTTTAACTTATAAGATCACCCTTATTGTCACTTTTGTGTGTACACAATTATATGGGTGGGTGCACATACATATATGTATACATATACACCTAAAATTGATTTGCTGACCATCTCATACCCAGTAATTCTTTCCCCCCTCCCTTCAAGGCAAAAATCACAACCTCCTTTCTCCACTGATTTTATTTATTCATGTATTTATCCAATGTTGAAACCACTTAGTGAAATTGCTCTTCTGCCCTTAGGCTGCGCCTGGCTTCCTTTCATAGCAGTGGAAAGCTTATTTGTAGCAGAACTGCAGGATACCAGATACTAACCCTCGAAAAAGATCAGGTTTGTATGTGTGCAAAGCTTTGGGGTCATTGTAGCTAGCCGAGTCAGAGAAGAAAGTGGGATTCTCCTAAGAAGCAGGAGGGATAAACAGAAATGAACCGGGCTCCATGCTTGGCTATCTGGAAACTACGTTGTCCTGTGACGACCCTGCTTGCCGGCTGCCTCTCCCAGAGGCTGCTTCAGCTCCACTGAAGGTCCAGGAGGTCCTGTAGCTGGGCCACATCTTCAGAGCTGGCAGGCTGCCCATCTTCCTCCCCGCAGGAGAGAATAGCGTCAGATTGCTTTTGCAGGACACGAAGAAGAAAGTCTTAGTGAGGTGCAGTATCTCTTACAGCTCTCGTCAAATGACGGGAGAGAATTCCTTGCCTCACAAACTCCAAAATTTCTGGGCACAAGAAGGAAGGGTGTTTGCAGGAGTATCACTCGTGGGCTAGACGGCCCCTTCAGCGGCTGCTGTTTGGGTGGAGGGCGCTGGAAAGGTTAAAAATCCTTGAAAGTCTCTTTTAAAAAATGCAACCAGAGAAAAAAGAGAAATAATGGTTTTCTCCTTCTGTACGTATTCCACTGATGGATGATGCTTGATTGAAAATTGCCTCTGAAGTTACAGGAGTCACGCTTATCTTTTGTGTGCTCGTGTACATACATTTTGCTGTTTTCCACTGACATAGTCATAGATGCCTTGCATATTTGCATACATATATTTTACTGTTGTTTTGCCCTTCTGGTTGGATGCTATCTGCATTTCGTTGCCTGCATCCATGGCAATGACAATAAAGTTGAATCTAATCTAATCTAATCTAATCTAAAGAATGTTAGAAAATTAGTTTCAGGATTTCTAGCCTTTTCTCTAAACTGTTTTTTTCCTGGGTTTCTGAAGCGTTTTTATGTTTGGTCGGATATCTATTTATTTATTTGCTTTTTAGGAACAAGTAGTGATGAATCTGGACAGTAGACTGCTGGTCTTCCCTCTGTATATCTGCTGCAACTTCCTGTACACTTCGCCTGAGAAGCGGCGAGAGAACGATGGGCAGTGAGGCTGATTTTTGAAACGCCTTTGTGTGGCCACTTTCATCTGGAAGCTCCTGATGCCCTGAAAGAAACAGCGTGAAATGGGCTCATCTATTGAAGAAAAAGAGAGAGGAATCTGATAACCTAATACATCAGAATACAAGCCCCGGCAGCTCCCGCTGGCATGACTAACTGGTGAGGTATGTTGGGAGCTATGGATTTTAAGGAATTGTAAGCCACAGACCCCCCCCCCCACTCCTCCCCGCTCGCCTCTTCACATTCCCACGCCTGTCTGAAGAGCGGAAACTATTTACAGGGACCCCGTTTTCTACCAGTTTCCTGAGAGTACAGAAAGAATTTGAACACAGTGCATTAACTAGGCCTGCTTAATTAAAGAGAGTAGGGTGATATATCAATAAAGCCCACAAATTAACTTTAATAGAGGACACGCTATTTTTTATGATCTCTTGATTTGTTCTTCCGACCAAGTTAAGGGTCAGTTCCTGGCTTGGTGAAATCTCTGGATTGTTTTTAATTCATTATACTTGTAAATACTTCCTATTGAGTTGAAAACTTTGTATGATCTACCTTGTTTTGTTTCCAAGAAATATATATACATATTTTTGATTGTATTTTCAAGAGTCATTTTTTAGAATCCAGCTGCCTCAATTCAGCATTTTTAATTCATCAGGTCCATCATTTAATTCTTGGATATACTTTTTGGTTTTTGACTTGAAGCAAAAAAAAGGAAGACCCCGAAGCGAGTGGGTCAGCCACTGCCAGTCAGGAGGCCCCGTCCAGCCCGGGAGAAAAAGGGGCTGTAGCTGAGAATGGCCTTTTGATACACACACACACACACACACACACACACCAGATGTCTCTGTCGGCTTGTGTTCTGTGGCCAGAAGGGTCCCCTTGGGTGCCCACGGGACTGAAGGTAAATGCAGCAGAGCAACAGGTCTTAGGACTTCAAAAACTACCCTGTTGAATACAACCATCAGAAGGCCTTTTTTACGGAAATCAGACTCAGAGAGGGAATGTAAATCCCATCTTCAGGAATGTAGAACTTGGAAAAAATTTAGAATTCAGAAAAAGAGCTGCACTTTTTTTATTTGAACACTTTCTTTGCATAAGGTTGCTATTCCAAAAATTGTCTATCCTTAAAACTCTTGCTATAATATTTAATTCAAAATATATCCCACATGACTTACGAAGATAAAATATCTTGGACAGTGAAACAATGACAGATTGAAAATAAACTAGTATCTGTAGTTTAGAATTCTTCATTGTTTATTTGGTTTCGGGGAGGATTCATTAAAAACAATTGCTAATCCTGGCTTCTTATATACGCAGTTTTCTAACCTAACAAGGACTCACCTATTTTGTTTTTCTGATAAGATATATTATTAAGTATATTAGGTGTAATCTTGGACTGGGACAATAACATTACACAGCTTGGTATTGAAGATTATAACTCAAGTTAATTCAATTCCCAAAGGGGAAAGTGTGGTCCTTGTGGCTGCAGAACTATTCCTGCCACGATGGGTGGCCTGCTTGCTGAAGGCTCTTAGCAGGGTTACTACAAATTTACAGAAATCCACTTTAGCCCAGTCAGGAAAGGTTTCCGCCCGGTGCTCGCAAGCCGATAAATATTGATCTCAAAAAAGGGCAGCATTTGTAGCTGAGGGTTGAAGGGGGGAGGGCTGGTTTTCTTGCGGATGTTCCATGACCCAAACTAAGTGACCTGAGTGGTACTTACTCAGCAGGCTCCCTGTCGACATTAACGCTGAATATTTTTATTTACAAGGATGCCTTTTGCCCCACTGGAATCTCCCTGATAGAGAGTAGCAATAGCGCTTAAGACTTATATAGCGCTTCACAGGGCTTCACAGCACTCTCTAAGGCAGGATGTCAAACGTCAAGGCCCGGATCTGGCCCACAGGGCTGGCCTGGAACTAGCAGAGGACCATCCTGCAGGGCCTCTGGCAACCAAAATGCACGCGCGCACACACGGCTTTTTTTTGGGCCTGCAGCACAAATGGGATCGAACTCAGAGCCTCCTGATTGTGAGGCAAGAGCTCCACCTCAAGGCCACTGCACCCCTCGGTTGTTGCCTTAAATTAAAAGGGCTCTTTCAGAAGTTGTTTTCGGAGCTACAGAATAAAACATAAACATGACAAGTTTCCTTCTTTCCCACCCTGACCCCAATGAAATCGTTTTGTTCCAGGAGACGTCACACAAACGTATTTATTTTGTCGGGAGGGGGGATGGGTTATAGGCCAAGCCTTCTGGCAGCGTAGAGCTGTGGGTTCAACCCAGGTGAGGGAAGAGGCAGAAGACACGGTCAATTCTTTCTCCAGTAGTCTGCGCTGCAATCCTCTCGGGAGCTGGACTTCTGCCCTTTCCCTTCCCATCCAGAAGACCCGGCTGCGTCCCTGGTAACCGGATGCAACCGGGGATTTCTCCCCACTGTAGGGAAAGGTCCAACTGGAGAGGTGGAGAACGTGGCTGCTTTGGCCTGGGAAAAGCAAGGGGGTGGCGTGGGGTAGGGGGGGTGTATTTGCCATCGGGCGTCTCTAATCTTTCCTAAGCTTCTTAGAAGAAAACGTGCATCTTTGGAAGGGGAGAGAATTAAATCGTGGAAGCATCCATCAACTGGCTTGTGGGGGCTCAAAAGGCTAAGAACGTGTTGCGTGTGAAGTGATCTTGATTGTACTGCTGCAACTTCTCTTGGCTCCCAAGCACAACTCATTCCATCTGGAAATGAAAGCAAAAGTAAGAACCGTAGGGAGAACCGCTTTCTGGACGTTTCTTAGAACTGGGGAATCGGAGGGCGCCTCTGGCGCTGGGTAGGGAATTTCCTTTCAGGTGGAGGACACAGCGCTCCCTGTGGCCGACCCGGGTATTAAAGCCCCGTTGCCACAAGCACTCAACGACCCACGGGTTCCCTTTAAGGATGGCCACTGGGGCCAGGTCTCCGTACACAATGCCATTTGCGTTTTACGGTGCCCCCAAAGTATGTCTTAACGCCAATTTTATGCCCGGTCTCCCCGAGACGGAGCCCTGAGCGGGTCAGTGGCATCTCTGTGGCAAAAAGCTTGGACCTGGTCCTCCTCGCCCCGTTCCTGGCGGGGGCAGGAGAAGCCCAGAGCCCCGGGGCCTTTTTTTCCAATCCTCTCCAGGAAATGAGGGACAGGCAAAAACCGGAGCTGCCGACTCAGCCACAGAAGAAGCAGGGAAGACAAAGAGCAAAAGACGCTGGCTTGGGTCTGCTCACCTGCTGCCTGAGCTGGCGCATGAAGTCCATCTCGGCGCCCTCCGTTTTTATATGCTCCACGGTTGATTCATGGGGCATCTGGGAGGGAACAGATGAAAGTGAGAGTGAAGAGGGTCCCCATTCAGGCCCCCGACGGAAGCAGCCGAAGGAGCCGCTTCCACCAGGAGCAGCCTGGAGTCAGTTCCCCCAACCCCTGCGCCCCGTTTCCCCCTCCCCGCCTCTTGGTTTGGCCCACCTACCAGAGCCGCCGGTGCCCGGAAAACGTAGCTGAAAGGATAATAGAGGAAGTTCACGAAGGAGGCCGCGTAGAGGTCCGCATAGCGCATCAGCTGATTGGCAAAGAGGGTCTGACGGGAGCCACAGTGGAAGAGGCTGCCCATCTTCCCGTAACACATGTCCATCTCGCGGGTGACTTTCTGCAAGAGAAAAGTTGGCACGCTGGCAGCCCGATTCCTACGGAGTTGGGTTCCTGGAGACCATGATAGCCAGAGGGGGAGAGCCATTTGTCTGAATAGGAGAGGGCTCCTGCTTGTGCAGATAATCAGAGTTTGAAGGGACCTTATAGGTCATCTAGTCCAACCCCCCACCCAAGCGGGAGACCCTGCCCCCTTTCTGACAAATGGCCGTCCAATCTCTTCTTGAAAGCCTCCAGTGGTGGCTAGAAGACCTCCGGGGTCTCTCTTCCAATTCGGTTCTTCTGTGATATAGATTGGGGGGCAGGTGGGGGAAGAGAGGGACGAGACCTGGATCTGCTTCTTGATGGCGCTGATGTCTGGGCACTCACTGCTCCCACTGTCCAGGTGCCTGGAAAAGACAGGAAGCCTGTGACGGAGGCCCAGCCAAAGCGCGCAAACCTCCCCTTACCATCCAGGCAAAGGGCTAACGGGTCAAAACAGATCTTACTCACGGGTAGAGTTCAGCCAAGAGGGCATCCAGGCGCCGCAGCTCGTCAAAGAGTTCTGTGGAGAGGAAAGGGCTTTAGCTCAGCGGTCCCCAAACTTGGCCCCTTGAAGACTTGTGGACTTCAACTCCCAGAGTCCTCCAGCCACCTATGCTGGAACCAGTAGTTGAACTGACTTGCTGGCCCCGCCCACCCCGCCCCTCCCAGGAGCCTCCACGTGGCCCATTTTGGATGCAGGTAAGTGCAGGGTCCGCGTGGAGGCTGGAAGTTCCGGGAGTCCAGAAACGGGCCCATTTCTGGCTTCCGGAGGGGCTCCAGAGCTCTGGGCTGGCCGTTTTTGTCCTCCCAGAGACCCAAGGGAAGCCTCCGGACTCTGGGGAAGGACACACCCACCATGGCCCCGCCCACCCAGCAATCCGGGCAGCGAACCGGTGGCTGGGATCTTGGAATCCCACCCCTGAGCTCACCACTCTTCTCCGTCCACACTTGCAGCTCCTTCGCCACTTCCGGGACCACCAGGAAGGTTCGCCATCCTTGCCTCTTCTTAGACTTGAGGATGTCCCCAAAAATGTGGTCCCCGATGTAAAGGATCTCCTTGCCCTTCACGCCCAGGAGGTCACATATCATGTCCGAGGAGCCTGGAATCGGGGGGACGCCTTTCACTCTCACATATGTGTAATTCTGGGCTGTTGTTGTTGTTTTTAACCTATTAGCCACAATTCTATCCTGGGTTATGTGGATGGATTCTCTATTTTCACCTTCAGGCAACGGACTGCTCACCTGGGCCACTATTCCTGGCCTGTTGGGGGCAATTCGCCCCAGCACCAGGAATGCCTCCGCCCCCGACTTCAATCTAGGGGGAGTCCTGGACTTACAACAGTTCATTTAGTGACCCAAGTTACAAGGGCACGGAACAAAGTAATTTATGGTCGTTTTTCACACTTATGACCTTTCTAGCATCCCCCTGGTTCATACTCATGACGATGGCAGGGTCCCCTCGGGGTCGCATGATCCCCTTTTGCAACTTTCTGATGAGCAAAATCAATGAAGCAGCCAGATTCACTTAACAACCAGGTGAGCAACTTATCAACGGCAGTGATTCACTTAACAACTATGGCAAGAAAAGCCATCAAAATTCACCACCGAAATGTTGGCCTCAGTTGTGGCCATAAGCCGAGGACTGACTGTATTTAGGAGTGGAAAGGACAGAGTCCAGTCTTAGGAGGCCGTCTCCGGCCTTTGCCCCTCGTCCCACTTCAGG